TTTAATATTTTTTTTAATATTAAATATATTATAAAAAATATTTTTATAAATTTTATTATTAACTTACCTTTATTAAAGTATAAAGGGCGCGTTTATAATATAATTTTAATAATTATAAATTAATTTAATAAAAAAGTAAAATATTTTTTTATTATTAATAAAATTATTATAAAAAAGTTAGCTAATTTATTTATTAAAAAAATTATATATAATATAAGGTTGCCCTAGAGTATAATAATAAATTAAGGTTTACTTTTTATTTTAAAGTATTAAATAGCCTTTTATTAAGTATTATATATTAAGTAATAACTTAGTATAATATATTATTTTTAATTAAATAATTAAATTAAGTACTAAAATTAAATACTTAAGGTATATTTACATGTATATTATAATTACTAGTAAAGTAATTAAGTATTATACTTATTACTAGTATACTTTACTTATAATAACTTAAAAAATAACTTAACTAGCTACGCTCCGCTTATAATAAGCTATAAATAAAAACTAGTAATTTTTAGGCTTAAAAACCTAAAAAAATTAATATTTTATTTTTTTATTAAAAAGTGTTTATATTATTTAAAATAGCTTTATAAAAACTTATAGGATTATATAAATAAAATATAAAAAAAATAAATACTTTACTATAATTAAAAATATTATTTAGTAAAATTTAAGGTTAAAAATAATATTTTARTATTTTTAAAAAATATTAAATTAATATATTTAAGTAAAAAACTTAACCTAAAGTATAATAAACCCTTTAAAATTAAATTTATTATTAAAAAGCAAGTATATTGGCTCCGGCTTACTAGTATATATAAATAATTAAAGATTTATTTAGTATTTTATATTTCTTTTTTAAAGTTATTTATATAGCAAGATAACCTTAAAAAGAAAAAAAAATAATTATTAATTATAAAGTTAGTTAATAAAAAAAAATAAAAAGTTAAAGCTATTTTTAAAAAATAATATATTTATAAATATAATAAATTTTTTATTAAGTAAAAGGGCTGGCCTAGCTATAAAAATTTATAAAAACTACTTTTTAATTTTAAGCATGTATAAAAAGCCTTAGTAAATTATAAAAAACTAGTTATAATAATATTAGTTTACTACTAGTTTAAAAAAAAAAGGTAATAACCTTATTAAGTTAAATACCTTTTTTTTACTAGGTTTTAAGATTTAATAAACCACTAGTATTATTAAAAAATTATTAAATTATTACTTAATTACTATTAATTACCTATGGCTTTAAAAAAGGGTATAAGATTTTTTATTTTATAAAATTTTAAAATTATACCCAAGGCTATAAGTAAAATAGTTACCTTTTTTATTTTTTTATAAAATTTTAAAATTTAATAAACTATAGCTAGAACACCGCCAGCTTGGTATTAAAACTTATTTTAAGTTATAATTTAAAATAAAAAACTATGTTTATGTTAAAGTTAAAGTATTAAAAAAAAAGGATTTTTTATTTTTTTTTAAAAAAAAATAATAACTAGCTATATAGTAAAAAATATAATAAAAAATTACTATTTAGTATTAAGAGCAGGAGCAGGGGCCTTTTTAGGTATTTTTTTTTATATTTAGTATTTTTTTAAAAAAAAAGGTATAATAAGCTTGTTTTTTAAAAAAAAGATATTAATAAACTAGTAACTATCCTAGCTATTATTAAAATAGGCCAGGGGCTATTTAATAATAAGTTAAAAAAATTAAATAAGCTTTTAAATAATTAAAGCTAATACCTTTATTATATAAACCTTAGGGCTTATTTTTTTATTATAAGCCTTTATTATTAATTTAACTTAATAATTAAATATATTTTAATAATAAATATATTTATTATAGTTACTAGGGTTTATTTATTATAAAAAAGTAATATTTTTTTTATATAAAATAGCAGGGGAAAACAAGTACCCTTATTATAAATATAATAAAAGTAATTATACCTAGGGGTTAAATAAATATAGTTATTAAGGTTATTAATTAACTTATTATTTTTATATATCTAAATATACTTTATATACTACAAGTAAACCTATTTTTTATTAATTAATATTTATATTAAAGCTATTCCCCTAGTAAACTAGTTAAAAATAAAAAGTATTTATAAAAAAAAGGCCAAAGGCTAGAAAAAAAAAGCCTATAAAGGTAGTAATATAAAACTTATAATAAAAATATTAATAATAATAGTAGCTAGTATAGCGCGAGGTAAAATAAAAAAAATAAGTTAAAAAATATAAAAAAAATTACTAAATTATTACCTATAACCTTATTATATATTTTAAAGGTATTTATTAAATATAAGTTATACTAGTTATTACTATTATTATTATTACCTAAAAACTAATTAAAATTAAAGTTTTTAAATTTAAAAAAAAATAAATATAAAAAAAAAATTAGGGACACCAAGGGCTTTTAAAGTTAATAAAAATATTATATTAAAGGGGTTTTATAATTATACTATAATAAAAGTATAAGGGGCAAAGGTAAGGGTATTTTAAATTATTATAATTATAATAAGGTACTTTTTTTTACTTGCTAAAAAGCCAGGGCAGTACTTAAAAAGGCTTTTTTTTACTTATAATAAAAAAAAGGTAATTTTTTATTTAGTAAAAAATTTAATAAATTTAGGAATTTATAAAATTATAAACTATATTATAATTTATACTTTTATACTAAGTATTATTAAAGCGCCGCCTTTTTTTTTAGTTATAAATAAATATTATATTTGATTTAAAGCATTATAAATAATAAAAATAAAATACTAAATTTAATATATTAAATAATATTTTAATAAAGTTAAAAATAGTAATAATAAAGCTATATTTAATATTAATATTAATAATAATAATAGTATTTTATTATTATTTTTTTTTAGTTTAATAGCGGGTCGCGGATAACCCTTTAATTAAAAAAAAAATTATTAAGGCTAATATTTTTTTATTTAATATTACTAAAGCTAACTTACTATTAATTTAAAATTAATATTTTAAGTAACCTAAGCTTTAATTTTAGGCTGCCAAGGCTTAATATATTTTATTATTATATTAAGTTATATAACTTAACTAGGTTATTAATATTTAAAAACTTAATTATTAATTAAATAAGGCTAGGGTAGGCCTTAAGTATAAGCTAAAGTAAAAATTTATATATAAAATATTTAAACCTATATTTACTTTTTAATTAAAAATAACTTAAGTATAACTTAAAGGTTTATAAAGGTAGCCTTAAGGCTAGCCTTTTTTTTAAATTTTTAAGTAACTTTTTTAGTATTATTTAACAGGGTTTAAAATACTTTATTCTTATTAGTTAAATTTCTTTGTTAATATCTTTATTATTAGTAAAGATCTTTAAGACTTATTGGTCTTACATACTTAATGCCTTACACCCGTATATAACTGCTTATTTAAGTTATTAAGGCCCTAAATCTTAACTATAATAAAAGAACTTTTTAAAATTTACTATACCTTAATAAAATTAAGTAATATAAGGCTTAAAATAAGCCTTTTTTAATACTTGCTTAAATAGTTAACTAACTTAAATTTACTTTACGCCTACGCCTTTAAACTATTAAAAACTTTTTAAAGGTACTTTAAATAAATAAAACCTAGGTAACAGGCGGAATACATGTAAAGATTTAAATTACTTATAATAAAAATAAAAAATTTAATTTTTTTTATATTATTATATAATACCAGCATTATAAAAAATAAATATTTTAGGGTTTTTTTTATAAAAATATTAAAGGGCCTTGCTTTTTTTAGTATAAAAAGTTAAAAAAAATAAATTTAAAAAAGTATTAGTAATATATTATTCCCCTTATTAACTTATACATTTAGTAATATTTAGGCCTTATTATTATATAAAATAACATGCCTTATTATAAAGCCCGCGTAATTATAACTAAGTTTAAAAAATAAGGCCTTTACTTATTAAATTAGCCTATATTTTTTTTAAATTTAAACCTAATTAAAATATATTAGGATAAAATAAAAAATAAGATTTAAAAAAATTATTTTTATAAGGTTAATAACTTAAAAAAGCTAAAAAAAATTATATAAAAAGCCTAGGATATAATTAATATTATAAAACTTATATTATTTATTAATACTATATTTTAATAAATTTAAAATATTATTATAACACGTGGGGGCTATATAAAGTAATAAATTTACTTTAAATAACTTTAATTTTACTTTAAATAGCTTTACTTTTAGCTAGTTTAGGCTATTATTTTAGGTTTTTATATTACTTTTTTTTACTTATTATAAAATTTAATACTTTAAGTACCTTGGCATAGTGTTTTATATAATAAAATATATTTTTTTCTGCGCTAGCGAACGCTAACTAAAGGGCTAAGAATTCAAAACTTGGCTTCTGTGGTGGGTACCTATGGACCATAGGCCAAATAGGCGAAGGAAACGGTTGGAGCTACATCACATTGTGCTTTTGTCGGAAAGCAAGAGATATTTTAATATTCAACAATACTATTCAAAGACAACGGCCATCCTCTTACTCGACGTCCCTGCCTGCATCTCGCGGATCATCGCGTCCACATCCTCCAGCCCAGATCGCACTTCAATCTCCGGCGTTATGCCATGTTTCGCAGTAAAGTCGACCGCTTTGCCCATGCGCTGCGGGATACTCGTGCTCTCAGCCTTGACAACATATGTACCAATGGCCAAGTCAAATGTCGACAGCTCAAGCGGGCTGGAGCTGATGCCAATGACCATCAGCACACCCCCTGGCCGAATGATCGACGGCGCGCTCTTATAGGCAGCTGCAGCGCCGCTGAATACTGCGGTCGCATGGACTCCGCCATTGGTAATTTTCTTTATTTCTGTGGCAAAGTCCGTTTGAGACAGAGAGTTGAAGATCACATCGGCACCTTGTTCCCTGCACGTTTCAAGTGCGCCGTCGTTGATATCGATCGCAATGACCTGGAACCCCATCGCCTTCGCGTACTGCACGGCCAGCTGTCCGAGGCCTCCGGCGCCAATGGCAGCGAACCACTGCCCTGGCTTTAAGTCGCACGAATCCACGGCGTGGAATGCTAGAATGGTTAGCAACCGCTTGATGATAAAGATGCCAAACGTACAGGTAATCCCAGCGCAGAAGATAGCCGAGCTGCGCTTGGGATCAAGCTGCGCAGGGAGCCGAATGACATTCTGCCAGTCGACAGCCGCGTACTCCTGGAAGCATCCAAAGTCCGTGACCCCTCCAAATCCAGAGACGACGGGCTTCCCGTTGGTGCAGTGGTTGTTGTGCACCATGCAGCCCTCGCACTCGAAGCAGCAGCCGTTGATATAGAGAAAGCCGACCGGGTCGCCTTCCAGGAACCCCTTGTCCGTGCAGTTGGCACCGAGCTTGGAGACGTAGCCTGCGCCTTCATGGCCGAGGGTGAAAGGCTCGGTCATGTTTGGTTGGTTGATTGCTAGGATGTCTGAGTGGCAGAGAGATGCGGAGGCGAGTTTGACGAGGATCTGGTGCGGTGCTGGCGAGGGGATCGGGATCTGCTTGACCACCACCTTTTGCTGCTGGGGGTCCCATTGCGCGGCTTTCATCGTTTGGTTCGTCATTTTATCGATAGCAGTTATTGCGAACATGTTAGGTACCTTGGTGGCCGAGATGTAGAATATAAATACAGCTGAATGGCCCCAAGACCTTTGAACAGGGGGCGCCCCCGCGCGGCAATCATTTTCCAGCGTGCGCTCATCCCGGCATGGGCTCAGTTACCTACGGCTGGGGTAGGCATCCAGGCAGGCATCTACCTACAACTGACTGTCACTGCATGATGTCGGTTGTGATGAACACTTGTCTATCGATCTGGAAGATGGACGCAGTTGGTGGATACTTCGCTACCGAAGCACTCGCTGCTTTATGATATGACCCTTTGGACCAAACAGAGAGTATTACTGAGAAAGGAAGCCATTATATATAAGTCGATGTCAGCTTTAGACATGCTCAATCATCTCAACGTCCGCCTTGCTCTCCGAGACAACATCCCCCTTCTCCTGTCCCTGAAGACGTCTCGCCACATTATAATGGACCAAATCCCTCATGCTCGGCACAAAGCAACTAGCGACAATCAAAATAACGCTAAATGGTATCGTGCAAAGGAAGACAACGCGGAAGCTCTCCGAATACGCGATCTTACGAGCCGCCATTGAGGCCGCAACAACGCTGTCTGTGGCACCCGGCACCCCGTCAGGGATTGACCCAGCGGACACAGCCTCAAGGAGCGCGGACAGAGAAGACTCAGGCAGACCAGCTGCGGTGGCTGCCGCACCCACATATTTCGGGATATTCTTCTTCACCTCGTTATCCAGCACAGACACGTACACGGCCTGTGCAACCGCTCCCCCGAGAGCGCGGAGCGAACCCAGAACGCCCGTTGCAAGGCCGATGTCCTGTGCCTCGACGACGAGGGTCACGCCGGGGAAGGTGATGTTGTCGACGTAGCCGACGGCTGTTGTAGAAGCTTTGGTCAGAGCGTGCAGATCCGGAGGGGGACTCGACATACCGATACAACCCAGCGTGCCCAGCGCGATCGTCATCGACCAGGTATCCGGGCCCAGAGCGCAAAGTGGGGTGATAAAGGCCATCGAGAGACAAGATGCAATGATGCACTGGTATTTGACTCCGGGGACGAAGCCCAGCGCCATTCCGCCCAGTACCTGGCCGAGGAGAATTCCACCGCCGACCACGGAACTCTGCAGACCGATCTGGATGGAATCGGTCGTGTAGATTGAGGAGATGATCTGTGGCCATAGCACAGTGAAGGAGTAGTAGACCATTGCGCCCACGGCTGCGTCGGCGACGATTGCAACGAACCCGACGTTCTTGAATAGCCGCGGAGGCATGAACGGTCGGGTTTTGCATACGAAGCCCTCTGTATTGCTTAGCGGAGTTTATGGAAAAGATGCCCGGACGTACCGTAGAAAACAAAGGCTGCTATGGTAGTGATGCCGATGAGCAGAGTGCAGAGGGTCGGTGCGCTGACCCAGGGGTAACTGGTCCCTCCCCAGGACAGCCCGATGAGGAACAGCACGCAGCCCGCAATGAAGAGGAAGATACCTAGGAAGTCGAGTTCCTTGAACATCTCCCACTTCGTCTTGCCGTCGACATTGAGCTGTGCGTACTTCGGTGGATGGTAGAGGAAGTGATATAGGATGGTGGCGATGACAGCGAGGATCAGTCCGATATAGTAACTCCACCGCCAGCCCTGGCTTGTATTCTGGATCAGCAGTCGAGCAAGAACAGGCCCGAAGACAGCAAAAGGTAGCGAGGACAGGAAGACGATCGTCACGATCACGCCGCGGTATTTGTTGGGCACGAGCTCGCCCAGGATGATTCCAAACGAGAGCTGGCCTGCAGCCGAGACCCCATTGAAGACATTCGCGGCAATCAGCATCTCGACGTATGTGGCTCGCGCTCCGACGATGCACCCGATGATAGAGAGGATCATTGAGCCCTGCACGATCCACTTCCTACCAAAGATGTCGGAGAGACGGCCGATGAGGAGGAACCCAATGCAGCTTGAGAGCGTCCATACGGTGGCTACCCAGTTGATATTGGGGGAATTGCCCAGCTCGGCGTTGATCAGGCTCAGGGTGTTTGCTGGCATCACCCAGCCCAGGTAGGCTACGATCGATCCGAGGCATTGGGCCTGGAGAGTTAATACTGAGTTATCGGGTCAGATGGTACGTACCAGCACTGTGCCCAAGAAGGGCAGGCTCCGGAAGTAGCCCTTGGGCATGTCTTCCACATCGCCCCCGATGGCCTGGACGTCGACGTAGGTGACGGTGCCATCGGCATGGACCACCTCTTTCGGGGCATTGGAGTCAGCAGTTTTGGTTGAAGACATGGTGGGGAGTGGTGTCGACTCCAGCTTTTTTCCGAAACCCTATGTTTTATGTATAACAAAGATCTGGATCTGATAGACTCCCGATCTCTGGTCCAGTCGATCGGAAAAGGTTTTCCCACGCTATCCCCGCATTTACCCCGGATTACAGGTCTGCAGAAGAGGTGGAGGGTCTGGAGGAATCCATTCATCTAGATCTGACAGAAGTCGAGCCCTAACACGCCCACCCTCCGTCAATAGAATGGGTAGCACCGGTAATAAATGAAGACGCATCACTCAGAAGGAAAACAATCAAGTTGGCCACCTCCTCCGGCCTCCCTGGCCGTGCCAACGCCGTGTCCGTCTTGACGTTCTTATTACCGTTGATGTCGGCGGAGAGGGATAGCATCGGCGTTTCGATCGCGCCTCTGATCACGTCAGTAACTCTATCAATAAGGGTCAGGCTGTCGTACGGGGCAATGCAGTTGACTCGGATGTTCCGGTCCTGTCCAACTTCCTTCGCAGCGGCGCGTGTCAGCCCAATGACTCCGTGCTTGCTGGCAGTGTAGGCGGCGTTGTTCTGGAATCCCATGATGCCGGCGATACTTGCTGCATTGACGACGGCGCCATTGTCAGCCATGACTTGGAGTTCTGCCCGCATACACTGCATGACGCCCTTGAGGTTGATGTCCATGACCCAATCCCACTCTTCGGTGTCGGTGTCTTTGACCTGTTCGCCCAGTTAGTACTCTATAGAGCCAGAAATGATGGGTACTTGCCCCCTTCAAGCCGATCGACTTTCCAATAACGCCAGCCAGGTTTGCAGCGCCATCCAGCTTTCCGCCCCATTTGACCGTCTCTTGGATCCAGCTGTCAACGGAACTGGCTTGACGGACATCGACTGTCTGCACGAAAGCATCACCGTAGCCGGCGTCTTTGATCTCTCTGGCTACTTCCTCCAGAGCTTGCTGTTGGATATCGCCAATGGACACTTTGGCACCGAGGGACGCAAGCAGTTTGGCGGTTGAGCGCCCGATGCCGGAGGCGCCGCCTGTGATGGCAATCACTTTACCAGTAAAGTCAATCATATTGTATGCTGCAGTCTATCTTGCAGAAAGGAACTGTGCAGATAGTCTATATAGTCTCTTACCCCAGCCGTTTGTCGGGAGAAGATACCCCGCCCAGCTAAGAGGGTGGTCGCACAGATCCCCGAGCTCCTTGCAAGTTGCCTGGATGAGACTCCGGTGAGAATAATTGTTCTTCAGACCAACCAATCTAACAAATCTAAAGTACACTTGCAACCAACGGATCCACCAGAGTAACCATGACCCTGACCCCCCTCTCCGGACACAAAATGCGCGCCCCATCCGGCCCCAGCACATCCCGCATCTCCTCACTCGTAGCAAACTTCTCGTAGTCCTCCCAGCTGTGGAAATACATCTCCGAGCATGCGTCCCATTCGAAATCGAGAGGTCTTGGTCCGAGCTTCGCCGCCGCTTCGGTGAGGTCCTGCCGGTTGTGGACCTGCGAGTACTGCAGGATCTTGGCCTCGCTGTAGATTTTGGAGTTGAGGACGAGGGGGCCGTGGACCTCGCGCCAGTACTTGTCGAAGTCGGCTTTGGAGAGGGAGGGGTGGCGGGTGAAGAAGCTGCTCACGCGGATGAGGGGCTTTGGTGTGGGCAGATTGCTTTTGTCGCACATGGTGGAAGTAAGTATGGCAATTTAGGAGAACGTTGATGAGGATGGCTTTCAGTTCACCGTTTGAGCCCTATGAATCACGTTGGCTCTTCTTCAGCTCTTCAGGGATAGTCTCTGGGCGGGAAAGGGCTGGATGTGTGCCGGGTGTCGATAACCGTGGGGAGAGCTTAGCCCTAAACCTCAGTGGAGATGACAACTAAGCAGCATATCCACTCTATCAAGTCTATTCTAACAAGGCAACCGTCAGATACCATTCTTGGCTTGCAACGCAATCACAATGCTGCCGCGCACTGCCACCGAAAAGACCTGGGCTCTGGCCACCGTGGGCCTCGTCCTGAGTGCCTCGTACATCCTCGGCCTGGCCATCTACCGACTGTATTTCCATCCACTAGCCAGATTCCCCGGACCGAGACTCAATGCGATCAGCTCATTGCCCTCGATCTACTCGCTGCTTCGTGGCCGATTAGGGCTGGAAACCAAGCAACTGCACGACAAGTACGGCTCGGTCGTGCGAGTCTCGCCGAACGAGCTGGCCTTCAACTCGGCCCAAGCTTGGGAAGACATCTACGGGTTCAAGACGGGTGGTCGCAAGAACATGCACAAGGATCCCATCCATGTCGGCTCCGTCGACCCTTTGCCCGGCGCCTCAACCCTGACGATGGCCGACGACGAAAACCACGCTCGCCAGCGACGAGCCATGTCGCATTCTTTCTCGGAGAGGGCGTTGAAGGAGCAGGAATATATTATCCAGCACTACGTCGACATCCTCATAGGCAAGATGAAGGAGATGGCAGACAAGAATCAGCACTTCAATCTGGTGAACTGGCTGAACTTTACGACGTTCGACATCATCGGTGATCTGGCCTTTGGCGAGCCCTTTGGCTGTCTCGACCTGGGCGCATTCCATTCCTGGGTTGCCTTGATCTTCGAGACCGTCAAAGTCGGCGCACTGGAACAGGCCACTCGACGCATGGCGGAGGCAGGATCATGGACGCAGACAACGCTGCTGAACATGATCCCCAACTACCTCAGACAGCGACGACGCGACCATCTAACCCGCAGCCGCGAGAAGGTCGAGCAGCGCCTGCGCAACGGACCGGGCGAGCACAACGACTTCATCTACTACATCCTGCGTCAAAAGGAGAAATACGATCTGCACAACAACGAGATCATCCTAAACAGTGCGTTGTTCATCGTAGCAGGCAGCGAGACAACCGCAAACCTCCTATCCGGCCTCTTTGCCCGTCTCCTCCGAAACACCGACAAGATGCACAAGCTCTACGCCGAAGTCCGCGCTGCTTTCCAGCACGAGGACGAAATCAACTACCAGCGCACCAGCCACCTCGCCTACCTCAACGCATGCCTGGAAGAAGGCCTGCGCATCCACCCCCCAGTTCCCACGGGCCTCCTCCGCACGGTCCCCAAAGCCGGCGACACGATCGACGGCCACTGGGTCCCCGGCGGCACCTCCGTCTCGGTGGGTGGGTGGGCGGCCTCGCACAACCCGGCGAACTTCCGGGACTGCGACGCGTTCATTCCCGAGCGATGGCTGGACGGCGAGCCCGCGTACGCGACGGACATCAAGAGCGGCATGCAGCCGTTCTCGCTTGGTCCGCGGGGCTGCATCGGCAAGAACCTGTCGTACATGGAGATGCGTATCATCCTTGCGCGGCTGGTGTGGAACTTTGATGTTGTTAGTATCGATGGCGCGTGGCAGTGGGATCCCGAGGGCGAGATGAGGCATATGAAGGCTTATACGACGTGGCAGAAGCCGGATCTTAATGTGAGGGTGGTTCGTGTGCAGCGGGGGGGTGGGAGGACGGCTGGGTCGTATTGTGTGAAGAGCCAGGCTCAGAGGGAGGGGAAGGAAGACCTGTAGTTTGGCTTCATAGCCCTGGCTATGATGTATTTTCTTGTTTGTTGTTTGGGCACATGCTGCGTTCTGTTCTAATGTTTTTGGAGGAGCTACCAGTAGCGGTGTACTTATGCAGCCAAAATTGAGTAGTGAATAGCGAGTCATTTGCTCCTTCCTGCAGAAGAATGAAGGCAACAGGTCTCAATTCCCCGACTCAATCAACCCCAAAAGTGGACCGGATGCAAGCCACTTGCTCGGACGTCTTCAGCCTGTGCTCAACCGCCATCCATCGACGTCTGCATGACTTGCGTCACCTACTTCAGTGAATCATCTATATGATAAAGCTTGAGTCGTCACTGGGGTACTGCCTTCGCATACTCGAAGATCTTACGACCATCATGGATTCGAATCAACCCATCCACCACGAGCGGCATATCCGCATCATCTGCATTGGCGCCGGTGTCTCGGGTCTCCTCTTCGCGTACAAGCTGCAGCGAAGCTTCTCCAATTTCTCTCTCGTCATCTACGAGAAGAACCCCGAGATTGCCGGCACATGGTTTGAGAACCGCTACCCAGGGTACGCTCTGTCTCATCATATGTACCTAACGGCATCCTCGTGCTAACCCACGTCCGCTCAGCTGCGCCTGCGACGTCCCCTCACACAACTACACCTGGTCTTTCGAACCAAAGCCCGACTGGTCAGCGAGCTATGCCAGCAGCAAGGAGATTTTCGACTACTTCGACACCTTCTCGCGCAAGTACGGGCTGCGCCACTATTGCCGGGTCCTGCACCAGGTTGTCGGGGCTAAATGGAACGCCCAAGGCGGCTACAACGTCCGCGTGCGAGACCTGCAGTCGGGGAAGGAGTGGAATGACTCGTGCGATATCTTGATCAACGCGGGTGGGATCCTCAACTCGTGGCGCTGGCCTGCGATCCCTGGTCTTGACAGGTACAAGGGGACGCTGGTGCATACTGCCAACTGGGACGACTCGATCTCGCTGGAAGGGAAGCATGTTGGACTCATTGGGAATGGGTAGGTGGGACACATTCAGAACCATGTTCATCGCCAACCTCTATAGGTCTTCCGGTATCCAGGTTCTACCGGCTGTTCTGCCTGAAGTCAAGAAGGTGACGACCTTCATCCGCGAACCGACCTGGGTGTCGCCCGTCAAAGGCCTGGAGCAGCACATCTTCACCGAAGAGGAGAAGAAAGCTTTCGCATCCAACCCAGGCCATCTAACCGAGTACCGTCGCGGGATCGAAAGCGGCATGAATGGCCAATTCGCCATCTTCCTCCGCAACACCGAGGGCCAAAGGTCGACGCGGGAGTACATGACCCAGCAGATGAGGGAGAAACTCAGCAACGCCGAGCTGGACAAGGTCCTCATCCCCGAATGGTCGGTCGGCTGCCGAAGGATCACGCCGGGGGTCGGCTATCTCGAGTCGCTCAGCCACGAGAAGGTCAAGGTCGTGTACGGCAACATCACCGAGGCCAGCGAGAACGGCTGCATCTGCGACGACGGCAACGAATACGCAGTCGACATTCTCATCTGCGCGACCGGCTTCGACACCTCGTTCCGCCCGCGCTTCCCCATCATCGGGCCGGGTGGAAACAACCTGCAGGATGCATGGAAGGACGAGCCCCATTCCTACTTTGGCATTGCTGCCGCAGGCATCCCCAACTATCTCACCTTTCTTGGCCCAAACAGCCCTGTTGGGAACGGACCTGTATTGTCTGCCATTGGTACGTCTTCCACACACACATAGGAAAGACGATCTAACAACCACCAGAAGCCCAAGCCGACTACATGATGAAACTGATCGACCGCTACCAAACAACCAATATCCACAGCTTTGCGCCAAAACACGAAGCCGTCACCGACTTCATCCAGTTCAAAGACGCCTTCATGCGCCGCACCGTCTGGGCCGACGGCTGCCGCTCCTGGTACAAGTCCACTGACCCCAACGGCCCTGTGACAGGCCTATGGCCAGGCTCAACACTGCACTACATCGAAGCGATGAACGAGGTAAGGTTTGACGACTGGGAGGTCAAGTACAACGGGAACCGGTTCGCGTGGTTGGGGAATGGGTATAGCCAGACGGAGATCGATGAGACGGCGGACTGGGCGTATTATATCCGCGACCATGATGATGGGCAGTTTCACAGTCGCAATAAGAGGCTGCGGATTGTGAATAAGTCGGGGACGAGAAGGCCGGAGAAGACGGCTTTTACGGTGTTTCCGAGGATTTAGGGTATTATGAATGCCATGTCAATGCTTGGAATCAACAAACCCAGTGCAGTTATACTACTGTAGTCGAGAAAATGTCGCTTCTTTTGATCTTCCACAGTTCTATCTAGATTTCAGGTCAAAATGGTCCTTAGTCCAGTGTTGCACATGGTCTTATAGTGGCCCGGGGAAGGGTTCAAAGGCAAATGTCTCGGATATGGCCGATATATATTTTGCAACAAGACTAAACACCAAGAATATCCGCAAGTTAAAAGACCATGTACATCAATACGTCAGATTGATCATGACAGTCTTCGGCTCCGTAAAGTGCTCCAACGCATCGCGCCCGCATTCCCGCCCCAGGCCACTCTGCTTCGACCCGCCAAAGGGGGTATTCAGGAAGTTCAGACTGATGCAATTGACACCAACCATGCCGGACTCGAACTCACTGGCCACGCGCAGCGCCCGGTTGATATCCTGCGTAAAGACGCCCGCCATGAGCCCGTACTCAGTGGCGTTGGCCTTCTTGAGGACTTCCTCCTCGGTCTTGAACGAGTTGAGGATCGACACAGGACCGAAGATCTCCTCCTTGTAGATCTCTTCATCTTGCTTGACGTCCGTGAACACAGTCGGCTGGATGTAGAAGCCTTTATCCCCGACTCGCTGGCCGCCCGTGAGGATCTTGTTAGTCTGCGCCCCGCGCTCGACGAAGCCGGTGACGCGCTGGAATTGCGCTTTGTCGACTAGGGGGCCCATTACAGTTGACGGATCCTCTGGGTCGTTGATCCCCTTGGCTTTTTCCTCCAGCGCGGCCTTGTACTTCTCCGTGAACTTGTCGAAGATGCCTTCTTGAACGTATACCCTCGAGGCAGCGAAGCATGCCTGGCCCGTGTTGATGGTGATGGCATTGACGCACCAGGTCACCGCATTCTCGAGGTTCGCGTCGTCGAAGACCACGGCCGGCGATTTCCCGCCCAGTTCGAGGGTGACCCGCTTGAGGTTCGACTCGGCCGCCATCTTCTGCACCTTTTTGCCCGTCGGGATGGAGCCCGTGAAGCTGACCTTGCGGACGCGCATGTGGCTGGCTAGTAGGGCGCCCGTCTTCCCATCGCCCGAGAGGACCTGGAAGACGCCGGGCGGGAATCCGGCCTCCTTGATCAGTGCGCCTAGTGCCAGGGCCGCGAAGGGCGTCTTCTCGGACGGCTTCAGGATGAAGCAGTTACCGGTCGCCAGGGCCGGAGCAGCCTTGAGGCCGACGGTCCCGATCGGGCCATTCCAGGGGACAATGCCGGCCGTGACGCCGAGGGGTTCGTGGCGGGTGATGCGCATGAAGCCGTCCTGCTGGGGATATGCCTCGCCGGCGAACTTGTCGATCCAGCCGGCGTTGTACTCGAAGGCGTTGGTGCAGAGGTCGATCTCGAACTTGCCGAAGGCGTTGTAGGGGGCGCCCAGGGTGAGCCGGGTTAATTCGGCGAGTGCCTCTGCGTGCTCTTGGACGAGGGCCGCGAACTTGAGGAGGATGCGGCGCCGCTCGGTCGCGGTGATGGCTTTCCATTGCGGGAAGGCGGCTTCGGCGGCGGATACGGCGGCGTCGACGTCTTCTGGCCCGGCTTGGGGGACTTTGTTGGAGACGAGGGAGTTGTCGCGGGGGTTGAAGACGCTGAAGGTGGAGGGGTCCTTTGGGTCGATGTATTCGTTGTTGATGAAGAGCTGGGTGGGCAGGGTGCCGCGGGAGAAGGGGAAGGTTGCGGGGGACATGGCGACAGGGTGTAGGGAATTGGAGGTGACTGGGAAAATGGATCTTGCTGGCGATTAGGTACCTATATACCCTGCAATGTCGGACAGAGGGGAAAACGATACCAACCAGAGGCAGCCATTTTCCTCTGCAGGCGCCACAGGGCTTGGCTGGGCGGGGTTCTTTATACGCATACGCTCGATCGGGCATGATAAGCGCCTGTCAACTACAGGTCAGAGGGACACGAATCATCCTTGCCAGTGGAGGCGTGTGAGCATGAATCAGGGATCAGAGGGAGCAGAGGGGGCAGAGGGAGGGGGCAGCGGGGCCGAGGGCACAGAATGCGGGGGGGATCGACCGAGACCAGCCGGATTCCCCGGATGAGCTTCAGCTTCTCCTCTGCATTTCCATCTTGTCATAACAATGGCTGGGCCTCAGAACACGAACCGCCAGTCCGACTCGTCCGGGTCCGGCAATGAAACCTCTTCCAAGCCTCGCCATCGAGCATCAGTCGCCTGCGTGGCCTGTCGAGAGCGCCGGACACGATGTGTAGTCCAGGCAGGGGAGACATCCTGCACTCAGTGCCAGGAGAGTGGCCAGGAGTGTATCATCAAGAACGATGACCAGAGGCGAAAGTACGCTGCTTAGCTTGGAGGATTGAGACCGTGCTGACTGTGTTCCAGACCGGTGTCCAAGGCGTACGTGAGCCAGCTCCAAGACCAGATCCAACAACTCCAGGCCGCTTTACGTGAGAAGGAAGAGCAGTCTACAATACGCCAGAACCAACCGGTCAACACTAATCACGTCGAAACGACCGAGTCCGGAGAGAATCGCCCCCAGCTAGAGCCCTCGCAGCCCTACTCCCTCCCTGTGCCAGCCGATACACCGGAACCAGCGCTCCCTCAATACAAAGACAGTCCAGCACGCAGTTCAGACAGTCCGCCCTACCGACCACTCACGCCCATCAACTCCGGCCTCCGAAAGTCGTCGATGGCCCACCGGCTGCTGTCCACTCGAGGGCACGTCAGCTTCGACCAGCTGGCGGGCCAGCAACGGTACTTTGGCCCGACCACAAACTGCCACATCTACCTGGACATCGCATCCGAAAGTGAAGAAAGCCGGCGACAAGCCCGAGAGCAGTGGCGGCGGACGCAGCGCGTCCTGTCCGCCCTGTCGCACGAGTCGCAGGAATACCTCATGCGGCTGTTCTGGAAGCACTACAACTCGGTCATCCGCGTCGTCCACCAAGAGGCCTTTGAGGCTGGACGAGATGCTGGCGGAGGGCCTTTCTACTCGGGCTTTCTACATATATGCATCCTCGCCGCGGGATATCGCTTCGCAGATAAACAGCGGCCAGACATGATGCGCATCACCCTCCCTGGCAGGGAGTCGTTGCTGCATCGCGAGGCCAAGTACATGCTCGACTACGAGATGGAGCGGCCTGGCGGTCTTCCCTCCATTGCGGCTCTGTTGCTCCTCGGCGACCTCGAGGTCGGCTGCGGTCGCGACAACGCGGGCTGGCTGTACTCGGGCATGGCCTACCGGTTATGCTTCGACGTTGGCCTCCATCTGGACAGGTCCGGGTCGGGCGTGTCCCAAAGCGACATTGAGATCGGGCGCATGACGCTATGGGCGTGTGTCATTTTCGACCGGTACTGGGCACTCTTCCTCGGTCGGCCGACAGCACTCAAGCCAGACGATCTGGAGATCTACGAGCTCTCGCAGCAGTTCGACCGACTGGGCAGTTCACCCCCAGGCTCGGAGAAAACCCTCGAGCTGCAGATCTACCAGGCCCTCTTCGAGCTCATGGAGATGGGCGGCAAGATCACCGGCATCACGCATGTCTCCGGCCACGATCCCAACCACGACCGCCATATGTATCTGCGCATGGCCGCCCTGGACAGCGAGCTGGAGCGCTGGTATGCCCGTCTCCCAGAAGCCCTAAAGTACACCGCGGAGAACGCCACCACCGCGCCTCCTCCTTTCTTTCTTCTTCACCAACAGTTCTATTCCACCATGATCATGCTGCACCGTCCGTTTGCAGGATACGACAACATCCTCGACAGCCAGGGCGAGCGCAAAGTCAGCGAGGCAGGAGTCAAGCATCTCTCAGCCCTCTCGCATGCAACCTGCACAACCTGCGCCGGTCGCATCGCCCAGATCTTCTGGCAGCAGCGTCAGCGCTTCGATACGCGAAAGATCTTCGTCACTGGACTGCAGCACTCCGGCAACGCAGCCACGGCCCTGGTTGCGGCCATCGCGTCGTCCACCGACCGGGTCGCCAACGATCGGAGCATGCGATACCTGGAGTGTCTCGTCGCCGTCATGGACGACATGGCGGAGCCATACCAACCCGCCGAGCAGATGGCCACCATATTCAAGGCCGTGCTGCAGGAGCTCCGAGAGCTCCATCCGTCGTTGCAGTCGTCGAATGTCGTGCCGGCCCGCAGAGGCAGTTCCGCAGACGTTGATGGCCAAAGCAATATACCGCCGAAAAGAATCCCACCACCCAGATCCCAGACAAAAACACAATCGATGCACTCCACTTCATGGCCGGGTGATGAGCAGTTCCCGCAGATGGCGACCATCCTGCCCTCTCCACCGCTGACCTTCCAGTCCACAGAGAAGCCGGCACGTCGGGATACTGGAACAGAAAATATCTTTGCCGACAACAGCGTCCCGAGCATCGACGACTCCTGGTCCATCTTCAGTGCACCGGATCGCTTCGCCATCAACAACGTCATGGCCGGTGCTGGATCACCGTCTGCCTTTGTTTCGCCTTGGCCAACCGCAGAGACGCCCTCGTTATTTCGATTAGCGAATGATGCTACGGTAGAAACGAATAATATGAATAGCGACTTTATGCATCTAATGGAGAATGCCCAGGGTCCTGGTGAGAACTCCATGGCCATGTCTACTGCCGGGATCGAGGGCTCTGGGGGATCCAGCCAGACCGAGCGACCAACAAGCTTTACTTCTCCAGATACAAGGGTACGAGGACAGCCTCCAAAATGGAAGAGGCCCAGCAGTCGGTCGGATAGTATATGGACGGAGATCATCAGCTAGTTCTGCAACATAAGACGGATGTGGTTCTGGTGACTGGAATATCTACGGAGTACTTGGTGCAATCTTCATCATTTTTCACTGTCACACCATATACCTTATTACCATCATTGAATAGTAAAGCCCCTATAATACTTCAATTAGCCTTCATGCACTCGGGCTGAAACCTCGGAAGCGTATGGCCACTTACCCATCAGCCACCATCGCCGCCCCAACCATATAACTGCTCAACGGCGAAGCCAGGAACGTAATATGGTCCGCGATCTCCTCCATACTCGCCAGCCGCCCAGCCGGAATCTTGTCGACCTCCCGCTGTATCACGCCCGTATGCATCGAGCTCTGTACCAACGGCGTCTGCACGTACCCGGGACAGATGGCGTTGATGCGGATCCCCTTCGGCGCATAGGCTACGGCGTCTGCGCGCGTGAGGCCGAGAACCCCGTGCTTTGATGCCGCGTATGCCACGGCGGGTGTGTTGAGCGAGGGTGCGAGGAGGCCGTACATAGAGGCTACGTTGATGATGATCCCGCGGTTGTGACGGGGTGAACTATCCAGGGCGATGATTAGCCCTCGTCTGGATCTCTGGGAAGGACCTTCAGTATATTGTATGGTACACGTACTCCTCCCTCCTCTCCTGCCCCAACATAACGCCAATCTGCGCCCTGCTGCTCAGCCAGACACCATGCAGATTGACATCGATCGTCCTCTTCCAGTCGTCAACGTTGTGCTCCGCTGATAATGCCCCCGGGCCGGCGATCCCGGCGTTATTCACGGCATAATCGATCCTCCCGAATTGGCGAACCGTTTGTGTTACAGCGTCACTGACGGACTCTTCGTTCGCGACGTCAAGGGCCAGCGGCAGGACTTCTGTACCCGGGAAGCGGGATTGGATTTCGCGGGCGGTGGTTTCGGCAGCACTGAGGTTGATGTCGGCGAGGGCCAGCTGCGTGACGCCGTGTTTGGCGAAGGAGAAGGCGGTTGCTTTGCCGATGCCTTGGTGTGGATTGGTGAGTCTGCCTGTAGATGGTAGATGAGAGGATTGCGTCTTACCAGAGGCTGCGCCTGTGATGAAGCCTGCTCCTCGGAGGAGGGAGGGCATTGCGCATGGAATGAAGAGTATAGGTGTGAGGGGATCGTAGCTGGTGATTAGGGGTCCAAATGTTTGAATTGATTTGAATCCCCGACTACTGATTCAGGCTTGTATCCATGGATTCTCCCTCGGCTATCATTTTCCTCCAGCTTCTGCTACCACCTCGGCACGAACCTTAGGGACCTAGGTATTTCCAAGGCCAAGTTACTGGTTATGCTGCATGATTGAATGATTTCTTCAAGGGTAACAGTAAAGTAATCAAATCAAGCAACCGCCCACTCATGGTCACTGTTGCGGACATACGTCGCCAGCCCCAACGCATCTTGCTTAACCCCAGCCTTGACAGTCCCATTCCCCAAGAACGCAAATCTGTTCCGGTATCGATACGTGATGTCGTAGTCTTCAAACCTCGGATCCTTGATGGTTTTAAGGAAGTGCACCGTAGGCCCGGGCCACAGGTAAATGCGCTGCTTGAGCTTGCCGTCCTTGAACCACGAGCGACAGTCCTCCTGCCAGACGGTGGTCTTGTGGTACTCGTCGAAGTGGTCGTAGATGTCGTCGAGCGCCTCTTGCTTGACGGACATGGACTTGATGGTCTCGGTCTGCATCTTCTGCATGCATTTGACGCTGTATTCGACTGTTGTTTCGATTGACGGCAGTAAGGTTCCGCTCGACCAGGTTGCGCCGGGGCCGACGATGGTGTAGTAGTTGGGAAACCTACGAATGTTAGCTAGAGCAGACCGTTGTTCCTGGGGTATGGCTCACCTTGGGGCAGAGACTCCGAAGTACATGTTGACGCCATCTCCCCAGTCCTCCTGTATGCTTTTCCCCTCGGCGTTGATCACCTTGAACGCAGGCTTGAACGCTACATTAAACCCGGTGGCACAGACAAGGATGTCCATCTTATGCTCGACTCCACTGGCCGTTATAAGTCCGTTCTTGGTGGCTTTCTTAATGTCTCCGAAGATGGGCTGGACATTGGGCTGCACCAGGGCTTCCAGATAACCGTCCCCCGGTGAGATCCGACGACAGCCCGGAGCAAACTTGGGGATGATAAACGACTTCAGCTCTTCATGCCCGGGCCCCATGCGCCGAATCATCTCGTCGGTGATGTTCTGTCGGAAACTGTTGGACAGCTCCGAGCCCTGCTGGTACATCCCAAACAGCCCGTTGATCTCCGCCTCGATGCCCTTGCGGAACGCAAGATGATACTCGGGGTCCTCTCTAAACTTCCTTTTGTCGTCTTCCGTAAACGTGTACTGCCGACTTCCAGGATCCGCATCGACGCCATGCCGAAGATCCTTCGTCAGCGCAGTCGCACCGAACGGCGGACTGATCCAGGTCGGACTCCGCATGTAGACCTGCACCTGCCTGCAGACCTTCTGCAGCTCCGGCACAATCTGCACGCTCGTCGACCCCGTCCCAATGACACCAACAACCTTGTCCCGGAAGTTCACGCTATGATCCCAAGCCGCAGAATGCATCTTCGGCCCCTCGAACTCCCCCAGCTCCTCAACATCAGGCCACTTCCACGAGTTGAGAATCCCCGTCCCATTCACGACGCAGTGCGCCCAGTCCCTCCAGCTCTCTTTCGTCTTCGTATCCTCCAGCGTGATATTCCAGACCCCATCCCTCTCATCCCACCGACACTCCACCACCCGCGTATCCAACTTCATATACCGTCTCAGCCCAAACCGCTCCGCAAACCCCTCAAAATACCGCTGGATCTCACCACCGTAGGCGAAATAATGCGACCAGTTGGGGTTCGGGTCAAACGAGAACGTGTACAGGTGCGACGGGATGTCGCACGCCACGCCCGGGTATGTATTCTCGTACCAGGTCCCTCCGAAATGCGGGTTCTTCTCGAACAGCGTCAGTTCCCAGGAGGATGGCTCCAGCATGCGCTCCATCTTGTATGCTAGGCATAGCCCTGAGGCGCCGGCGCCGACGCATGCCACGCGTAGCTTGCTTGGTTTGGAGTGGTATTGGTTGAGGACTTTGTAGGGGTGTGGTGGGTTGGGGGAGGGGTAGCTGAATTCCCCGTCTTCATCGTGCGCGCCGTTGGTGCCGTTGGGCGTTCTTTGCGTCATTTTGCCTGTTAACCCTAAGTAGATTTGATCTTTAGGTCAGGATGATCGAGTACCCATGTGTCTATGGTACTTTTCAAATGCATATATGCTATAGAATGCGCTGCGCCGAGAGTGCGTGGCACCATATCCGGGAAAGGTTCTCCAGGTACCGGGGAACAATATCCAGTCTTGTCTAGGTCAAGGTACGGCATACACGCAGGAGTAGGGACGACTCTATGGCTCTGAACTACAGCCTTGAACGCCCGCTGGCATCCCGACGCGCCCATTCCTTGAGCACCTTCCGATTCAGCTTCCCACTGGCGAGACGCGGGACTTCGGCCACAAACTTTACTCCTCCGGTAATCTGCTTGTGCTTCGCTACGCGGTCCGTCATGTAGTTCTGGATGTCCGCCTCAGTCAGCCCCTTCGCCTCGTCCTTGAGTGAGACATACGCCCGCGGGCATTCCTGGCCGTCCGCAACGAACCCGACCACCCCGGCATCAGCAATGCCATCATGCCCAAGAAGAACCGCTTCAAGCTCCGCCGGTGAAACCTGTAAGGCATTCACCTTGATAAGTTCCTTCTTGCGATCCACGACCCAGAACCAGTTATCCTTGACCACCATGATATCGCCCGTCTTCAACCACCCCTCGCCATCCAAGCTTTCTTTCGTGGCCTTCTCGTTCCTCCAGTATCCGAGACACACATTGGGTCCTCGAACATGCAGCTCCCCCGGCTCCCCGTCTTTAACCGGGTGTCCGTCCTCATCTAGCAGTTTACACTCGCAGTTGGGATCCAGCATGCCCACACTCCCTGACTCGTCGTAGAGACCCCCCGGCACATGGATCGCGCCACAAGTGACCTCCGTCATTCCCCAGCCTTGCACAACGTTCGTCTTGAACCGGTTCTGAATCGTGTTCTGGAGGTCCCTAGATAACGGCGCTGCGCCGCATAATATGTTCCTCACGCTGCTGAGATCGTAGCGCGCAGTCTCGGGCCTCTTGTCCAGCATGATCAGAATCGGGGGCGCGACTTGGAGATTCGTGATGCGGTATTTCTGGATCGTGCCGAGGAACTCCTCGTAGATGAACTTGCGCATTATATACACGGGGAAGTCGAGCTTAGGCGCCATCAGACAGGCGTATAGCTGCCCTGCCGCGACTGTCAGCCATAATCATGCCATTCGCGCAGTGACTTACCGTATGCATGGTACAGCGGGAGAAACCCAACCCACCGCTCCTCCGGTCGACTCGCCGGGACCAACGCATGAGGGTGGCCCTGGTCACGCATGAAGATAGTCTGCTCGACATTGGCAATCAGATTCCGATGCGAGACGCACACCCCCTTTGGCAATCCCGTTGTGCCGGAGCTGTAGTTAATCGTCGCGACTGTCGTCGTCGAGGTATCGACCATGCTATCCCATTTCCACTGACTCGCCTCTTCCTCGCTTCCGATAAAGCTCCTCCAATCCGACACGCCGTCAACCGTCTCACGGGGGCAGTCGTCAAACAGAAACATGCGCTCTCTATGAATCCCCACACGCGCCGCAGCAGCAACTGCCGTCGTGACAAGACTCGGGTGCACCAGGATCAAACCAGCCCCCGTATCCTTGAGCTGATGCTCGATTTCAAACTGCGTGTATGCCGGGTTCGCCCCGCTGAAGACGCGTCCTGAGCCGACGATGCCCTGGTACGCGACCGGCACAAAGATGTGGTTCGGGGTTAAGATCATGACGACTTCGCCTTTGGGGATTCCCAGTCTATCGAGGCCGTAGCCTAGACGTCGGACCCAGGAGAGCATCTGGCGCGGGGAGAGCGAGGTGGCCGGGTTGCTGGCGTCGATCCATATGGGTTTGTCGGAGACGGTTTGGTTGGGGGGGTACAGGTACGTGAGGATGTTGGATTTGGGCACTTCAATGGCTGGGAAGGTGGATTTGTATGCCATCATGCTTTTGCTGTTGTCTATGTCTAGGGTATGGGCATGGTAGAGAGGGTGGTGGTTTATATCAACCCGGTCTATGCTCGGCTAACGTTAACCTCGGTCGGTGTATCCCCTCATTTGAGCTAGGGTACCATACCATGATTACAGGATACTCTGTGGGCATTGTTTCTATCTGATCTGAGCTGACGGTAATAAGTCCCAGACAAGGCGTAGCTACAGCTTTGGCTTTATATACTCCCAGGTGCAATCATCCGCCAGCTCCTCCTCCAGCCCAAATTGCTTCTTCAGCTCCTGAGCTATCTCGTAGTACCGTAGATGCCTTGCCACAACATCCCCCGCAGTCTTCAACTGATCTCTTCCCACCTGATGCCGATGAGCAGCATCCGGACCGTCCGCAACCCGCACAAAGCGAGCATACGTCCACATCTCCGGCAAAGGCGTATGCTGCGTCAACCCCTGTCCCCCATAGAGTTGCATACACTCATCAATGATCCTAGCCACCGTAACCGGCACAAGAATCTTGCTCTGCGCAATGCCATACCTCCCGCTCTTATTCCCCAACGCATCCATCGTATCCGCAGCATTGAACACAACCAGCCGCAGCGCATCCAGCTCCAACCTCATCTGCGCAATCCGCTCGATATTGCTATCAAACTCCCCGATCAGCTTCCCGCGCGGCTTCTTGCGCCCGTCCGTCGCGCGCACAAGCGCATACTCATACGCCAGCTCGCCCTGCCCGATCAGCCGCATGCAGTGGTGGATGCGTCCGGGTCCCAGCCGCCCCTGCGCGATCTCAAACGCCCGCCCTTCGCCTAATATCACATTGGACACTGGAACCCGCACATCCTCGTAGATGTACTCCCCATGGCCCTCGGGCGCACAGTCGTACCCCATGATCGAGAGGTTCTGACGCATCCTGAAGCCAGGTGTATCGCTCGGGATGAGGAGCATGGAATGCCGCCGTCGGGGATCCGGGTTGTGCGGATCGGTACAGCCCATTAGGATATACAGCTTCACGTCCGGATTCCACTTTGCGTTGGCGAACAGTTTGCGCCCGTTCATTACGTACGAGTCCCCCTGGCGCTGGATGCTGATGGAGATGTTGGTTGCGTCGGACGACGCCACGTCAGGCTCGGTCATCGAGTACGCGGACGCGAACTCCCCTCGCAGCAACGGGTAAAGCCATTTCTCCTTCTGCTCGTCGTTGCAGTACTTCGCAAGCAGCTCGATGTTCCCCGTCTCCGGCGCATGGCAGTTCATCGTCTGCGCCGCCCAGTATACCCTCCCCATGATCTCCGCGCAGCACGCGTACTCGAGATTCGTGAGGCCGGGAGACTCCTTGAATTCCTTGGGCAGGAACAGGTTGAAGAGTCCGCGGGCTTTGGCTTCGGCGCGGAGCTGGCGCATCAACGGCGGCATTTTCCACCGGTCCTTCGCGAGTTGCGCTTTCATGATTCCTTGTGCCGGGATGCATTTTGTTTCGACCCAGTCGTGCACGGCTTGGATTTTTTGCAGGGCCAGAGGGCGCAGTTTGCTGAGTGTCCATGCGGGGTATTTGCTGAATGGGAGGGTTGTCGTGTCGGGTTTCGGTGTTGCCATGGCTGGAGATTTGGATAAGGATCGATGAATGATGGGACTGTTGATGAAGTGGAAGGAATGAAGATAGATGGTCGCGGGTATTGGCAGCCTGTACTTTGCCGCATATATTAGCTTCACCAACCATCGATCATGGTCTGACCATCGAGTCGTATCTCGTGTATCTTGTAGACAGAATAGCAGTACAATGGCTTCACAGTTTGCGCCGGCATGGCAGAAGGCGAGTCCCTCTCCGCTCAATCACGATCACAGCTGACCAGACTATAACTACAGTTCCTGGATGAGCTCGGGGAGACACCTCTCCTCTATGGCTCGCTGGAAGAACTTCGAATCACCTGGAGCGGCATTCTGCAGAGGATGGTGGGTAAGTACAAGGTCAAACCTACAGTGGACAACTCAGTGCAGACCCGCGATGTCACCCTGGCCGACTTCTGGCTCAGAGTATACACACCCCCCGGAGACACCTCAAACAAGCCGGTCGGCGTCTACTTCCACGGCGGGGGATGGGCTATGGGGGCCGTGGACGAGGAAGATGCCTTCTGCCGGCTGATCAGCAAGCATCAGCAGATGACGCTGGTCAGCGTGGAATATCGCCTGGCGCCGGAGTATAAGTATCCCGTTCCTCTGGATGACTGCGTCGAGGCAGTGAAATGGGCACTCGAAAACCTGCATCCCCCGTCCGTGGTCCTGATCGGAGCATCTGCCGGCGGGAATCTGGCCTTCGGTGCCGCGCTCAAACTGATTGACCAGGGGCTCGGTGGTAAAGTCAGTGGGGTGGTCGCCCTTGTCCCCGTCACCGTCCATCCAGACGCCGTTCCTGAGGACCTCAAGCCGCGCTATACATCATACGAGACGAACGCCGACGCAAGTGTGAACACCGCATCTGCCATGAAGACATACTTTGAGACGTACGGCGCACCCCCTGACGACATCTACACATCGTGCTTGCTCCATCCGAAGATCAACCAGTTGAAGAGAGTGTACATTGCCGAGTGTGGCGCGGATACGCTACGGGATGATGCAGTGTTGATGAAGGAGGCTCTGGAGAAGGCCGGGGTTTCTGTTTCGTACGATGCTTATCCGGGCTTTCCGCATTATTCCTGGACGTTTCCTTCTACGCACCTTGATAAGCATCGGGAGGAGTTTCTGGCGAAGGCGTTGGGTGGAGTGGAATGGGTGGCGGGGTTGGATAGCTGATATTTACGATATTATAGGTTTGTGCATACTTGTAGAATGGGATGTATATGTACAAGTTCTACACAGCGATATTCTGAGTGAGTAGAGTCTGTGCCTCTACGCTGAAGAAGAAGAGTCTGGAGGCAGGAAAACAATACCCGTGGCCCTGGGAAACGGCGTCCGCTGCAGCTTATGGTACCACGAGCATCAAGATATAAACCCGCCAAGGACGTCTTACCACCTCACAGCTCCTACCAATCCAACAACACATCACCATGGGCTCAACAAGTCCACGACCCGTCCGCGTCGGCGGCGCAAGCGGCGGCTTCTCCGACCGCGTCCAAGCAATCACCCAGCTAGCCCAGCACGGCGAATGCGACATCATCGTAGGCGACTGGCTGTCCGAAATGACCATGACCGTGCACGGCGCCGGCAAAGCGCGCAACAAGGCTTCGGCCGCGTCCAAACCCCTATCCCTAGAGGAACGAGTCAAGACGGCCATGTTCGCCGAGAACTTCATCGACTGCTTCGAGCCGGCTATTCCGCATCTGTACAACAACAAAGTCAAACTTGCCGTTAATGCTGGCGCAAGCGACACGGAGATCCTGGCGGAATTGGTGCAGAAGATGTGCGAAGACGCGGGGTGCCCGATGAAGGTTGCGTGGGTTGAAGGCGACGATGTCACGGATGCGGTGCAGGAGCTTGTTGCGCAGGGCGAGCAGTTCGAGAGTCTGGTGCACGGCAGGAAACTTGAAGAATGGGGGTTCGAGCCGGTCTGTGCCCAGGCGTACATGGGCGGCTTGGGGATCGCCGAAGCCCTGAGGCAGGGGGCCGACATTGTCATCTGCGGGCGCGTTGCCGATGCCTCCCCGGCGATTGGGGCGGCGGCGTGGTGGCATGGCTGGGCTGCTGATCAGTTCGACGAGCTGGCTGGATCTCTTGTTGCGGGCCATTTGATTGAGTGTGCCTCGTATGTTTGTGGGGGGTATTACTCGGCGTTCAAGGATATTCTGAAGGCTGGGAAGCACCTGAATGTCGGCTTCCCGATTGCGCATATTGACCACCGCGGTGAGACGCTTCTGACGAAAGAGGCGAATACTGGGGGTGTTATCACGGTTGGCTCGGTGACCTCGCAGCTGGTGTACGAGATCCAGGGTCCGTTGTATTACAACTCCGATGTCACGGCCCAGCTGGAGGGCATTCGGATGGAGCAGGTTGGTGAAGACCAGGTGCGGATTACAGGCGTCAAGGGGCTTCCTCCTCCGCCTACAGCCAAAGTTGGGTAGGATATTCTCTATTCTGCTCTACTCTCATTACATGCTGACCATCCAGCATCACCGCACCAGCGGGCTACCAAGCGGAATACCACGTGTACCTCGTGGGCCTGGACATCGAAGAGAAAGCCAAATTCACCGAAGACCAAATCAAAGAAGCCCTGGGCCCCGAGCGGCTCGCGAAATTCTCCCTGCTCAAGTTCCACGTCAACGGGTCCTCGCCCATCGACGCCCGCAACCAGGATCTCGCGACTGTGGACTTCCGCATCTTCGCCCAGTCCCCGGACAGGGAACTACTGCGGATGACCAACCCAGACGGTTTCTTCCGAAGGTCAATGGTCACCTTCCTCGAGGGCGTCCCGGGCGCATCCCTGGGAAACGACATGCGACAGGCCGAGGGCAAGCCCTACTACCGCTACTGGCCAGCCCTCATCCCGCAAACCGCACTGCGACAACGCGTCCATAATCTCTACGACAACCGCGTAACAGACATTCCCGCGCCCAAGATTACGCGCGAGTACCCCCGGCAGCAGAAGAGCTACGAGACAACTAACCCCGTCGACCTGTCTACCTTCGGCGAGACGGTCCGCGCACCGTTGGGCTACATCGTGCTGGGCAGGGGCGGGGACAAAGCGTCCGACTGCAACAACGGGTTCTTCGTGCGGCACGACGACGAGTGGGACTGGCTGCGGAGCTTTTTGACGATCGACAAGATCATCGAGTTGTTGGGGCCGGAGGAGTACAAGGGCAAGCCGATTGATCGGTTTGAGATCCCGGCGTTGAGGACGGTGCACTTCTTGCTCAAGGACCATATGCAGGGGGAGTATAACTGCTGCTCGAGCTATGATACGCTGGGGAAGAACTGTATGGAGTATCTGAGGGCGAAGACGGTGGATTTGCCGAAGAGGTTCTTGGAGAGGGGGAGGGTTTAGTTTAGTTTAGCTGTCTTAGCAGGTAGCTTTGATGTGAATTCAGTCAGCAATGCGTATCTCACGAAGTGGATGTTGTCATTGCGAAATGGTTAACACATAGCACCCAAAGACCTGATCTGCCGCTCAAACTCTACAAGGGTAAACACCCAATGTCAGATGTCAGATCACCCCCACAAGATCCAGGGTAGACAGGCTCTCCCCACAGTAACTGCGGGGTGCAGGATCCAAGCCCTGGAAGATGATATGCGGGCCTGGAAGAAGACACCCTTACAAACAAAGAGCACTGGCGTGACATTGCAGCACCAAGACCCATCTGTCATGGACTAAATAGGACATCTGTGGGACCCTGGAGGTGGGCACAGGCTTGTCTAACTGGCCTTCAGACTTACTCCATTCTTGCAATGTCGTCCGAAAAAGCGGAGCCGGTGCACGATGAAGATATTGGCAGCAGTGATGGAGTGGTCCCTATTGAGCCTGGCAAGAAGGGGGCCGGTCTGACGCCTAAGACTATCATGGCCATCGTTGTACGTTTCCTCATTAGGGTATTCTATGATGACCATCTTCAGTCTAACGAAGCCATCAACAGTCCCTCTGCTTCCTCTACAACTCCTACCTCTTCACGCAACTGATGCCAGCCGTCATCCTCTCAAGCATCAACGCCGATCTAGGCCCCGACTCCAACTACCCATGGATCACCATCTGGTATGCCCCCTATACTTTCCGTGTCCCTACTAACAACCGCAGCTGGAACGTCGGCGCCGCAGTAATCGTCACAATCGGCGGGCGCCTCTCCGACATCTTCGGCCGCCGCTGGTTCCTCATCTCGGGCGCCCTCTTCGGCGCAATCGGGGCCGTGGTCGGCGCCACGGGCCGCAGCATACCGCAGATGATAGCGGCCGGCGTCCTAATGGGGATCGGCGGCGGGTTCGGCGAGATGATCTTCGCCAGCGTGCAGGAGATTGTGCCAAACCAGCAGCGTCTGTTCGTGCTGGGCTGCGTCGAGATCTCGAATATCCCTGCCATGCTCAGTCCCATGATTGGATATGCGTTCATCAGCCACGCGAAACTCCGCTGGCGGGTGTGCTACTGGTGGATGTTTGCGTTTGAGGCCGTCACGGCTGTTTTTCTTTTCGTTTTCTATAGGCCGCCTTCGTTCACGACGAAGCATCGCGGTGATGGGAAGACGAGGCGCCAGCTGCTCGCGTCGCTGGACTATGTTGGCTTGTTCCTGTTCCTGGCTGGGTGCGTCTTGCTCCTTTTGGGTCTGAACTGGGGAGGGCGCAATTTTCCGTGGAAGAGCGTCGGGGTTATATTGCCCATCGTGCTTTCCGGTGTTATCTTTGTGCTGTTGGGGGTTTGGGAGGTCTATGCCAACCTCGAATACCCGATCTTGCCTCCGAGGTTGTTCAGGAAGTGGCGCGAGTAAGTGCCTGCTTGCATTTTCAGGTCACCATGGAGAGTCCGCTGATGGCCTCACTTTGGATAGCTTCACTTCAATCATTGCCGTGACGTTCGTCGGCGGCATGCTATACTACAGTATGAACGTGTATGTACTGCCACAACACCCACACCTCCCTGAATTCAAGACTAACTTTACTATCCGCTTCAAGCCTCTGGCCCCGTCAATCAGCGCTGCTCTGGGTCCCAGCAGGCGACTCCACTCTCCAAGGCGTATACGCAAACATGGTCTCCTTCGGCACCATCCTCGCCGGAACGATGATCATCACAATCGTCCCCAAAGTAGGGCACGAGCGATGGCAGATGATCGGATTCCTGATCGTCCAAACAGCCATGATCGGTTCATTGGGATCAGTCGGCGCCGACGACAAAGCCCAAGCCATTGCAACCATCATCATCGTCGCAGCGACCGTCACGCCGCCCCAGTTCCTCGCGTTCGGCATGATCTCCCTGGCGCTGGACTCGCAGGCGGACATGTGCGTCTCTCCCTATCTTTTCATAAAGTTAGCGAACTGAAACTGATCCTCCACAGCGGAATCAGCCAAGGCCTGCTGTGCACATTCCGGCTCATCGGCGGTGCGGTGGCCACGGCCATCTACACGGCCATCCAATCCAACCGCTACAGCTCAATCATCGAGGGGATGGTCCGCTCCGCTGCAGAGGATTCAGGCTACGCCGGCTCCATTGCGGACTTACTCGCCGCTGCTACGATAAACACGCAAGCGGCGTATGAAGGCGTGCCTAGCACCACGGATCAGGTTATAGATGCAGTACAGCAGGCCGTCAAGGTTGCCAGTGCGGAATCATATCAGCTTGTCTATGAGGTTGCGGTGGCCTTTGGGGGGCTGGCGATTCTTGTCGCGCTGACGACGAGAGATATCGACAAGGAGAAGAAGACGAATGAAACGGCGGTGCAGTTGGAGAATGAGGGTGTGCGTAGTGACGAGCCTGTTTAGTGTTGGTAAAGATAGTTTCGTAGCCGCTCATCTCCCGCAATTCATAAATGACTGGCAACTCTCTGAGGAACTATCTGTTTCTGCCCACTAATTACCACCGCAATCACAACCTCGCTCCACCAGACCCTCCTTTGATATCCGCAATCACTTTTCCCGCCAGCTCAGCAGACGGAACCATCGCCTTCGCACGCTCCTTCGCCTGCGTACTGCTCGCCTGCCTGGCTGCATACCGGGCCGCAATCCCCTGGTAGATGATACTCAGCCGGAACAGACAGAACGCCTCTGCCCATCTCAACTCCGGCGCGGGGTCCCAACCCGCGGTGCCCGCATACCAAGCCAAACACTGCGGTATTGACGGCAGTCCTTCAATTGCTTCGATATCGTGCGGAAGGCCGAGTTGGCGCGCAGCGTCGGACGAAATGGCATTCACCGTCCACGGATGCACGACGTTCGCGATGTCCGCGAGTGGATGGCCGATGGTTGACATTTCCCAGCTGTACCCCATCAGCATCCACCTTTTGCCCTCGCGATGATGGGTAAGCTTACTCTAGAATCCCAACGATCCTCGGCTCAGTCCTATGATAGACCAGATTGTCTATCTTGAAGTCCCCATGAATCAAACTGGCCCGGTCGTTCGGCTGATACCTAGGGGCAGCGAAGAACCGGAGCAACGCTTCAATACCGGGCACAGGACCCACGGGCTTGTTCGTCTCTTCATCGAGCACGGCGCCCTGGGCAATAGTGAGGTTCCGCCATGTGGTGAGTTGGCGGGTGTAAAATCCGCCTGGTCGGCCGTAGCCCGCGAGCCCGATGGAGCCGGGATCGAGGCGGTGGAATTTGGCGAGTGTTAGCATTGCTTCGCGCCATCTACCGTAGCCATGTTAGTATATCCATTTATTCAAAGGACGTAGTGGCGGTCCTACAGATCCGTTCTCTCTTCAGCAGACACGCCAGGAAAGGTCGGATCCTCGAAGATCCGCCCGTCGAGGAACTCCATGATGTAGAACGGGGTTCCGAGGATGCTCTCGTCTTCGCAGAGCCAGAGTGTCTTGGGGACGGGGATCTCCGTCCTCTCCAGGGCTTTGAGGATGCGGTACTCGCGTTCGACTTTGTGGGCGCTCTTTGATACGAGCTTGCCCGGGGGCTTCTTTCGCATCACGTACTTTGCTCCATCGGGGCTGGTGATTTTGTAGGTTGGATTGGATTGGCCGAAGCCGAACTACAGCTCTTATGTTAGTGGTGTTGAAGGCTAAGTATGGATGACGCCTTACCTGGCTCAGGGTTATTGGGGTTTTGATGATGGGGACATGAGTCGCGATGTATCGCTCCAGGGAGGAGATGTCTATCGGTTGTCGTAGGGCCATATTCTCTATCTAACGCTATCAAGGTGTCGAGACCTTTGGCGTTGAAGCTGGTATTTCAGGGACTGCCTACCATAGCTAGGGCTGGAGCTGCGTCCCGAGGTCGGTTGTGCCGGCTATGCTTTTCCCGCAAGCTCCCTGAATTCTATACAACAAATCACAGCCAAAGAATCTGGATCAGTAAATTGTGGCCAAGATTGCAACTCCATAATCTAGGTAAAGGCTTTAGGAATAATGTTGGCAGCCCGGAACCGATCAAACGCAACATGCCATGCCCCCTGGACATCCGTCTCCTCCTTCGCATCCCCCCACGCCCGATGCATCTTAGTGAGATCGATCTGCCGGTCAAAGTCGAACTGATTCATGAGAAAGTTCGACACAATAGTCAGACTCTTCTCATTGCCCACTCGTCCGCCTTTCAATCCATACTTCCTCTCCAGCTCAAACCACCTCTCCCTATTCTCATGGATATACACACTAGGATCCGGCCCAGGTCCATTGGTAGGCGCCACCCCCTTCAAACCAAAGTAATCGCAGATAATCGGCCACCGGACCTCCCAGCTCGAGTACGTTGCGTTGTCGGCGACGTTGTACCTCTCCCCCGCACTCCACTCGGGATGCAAGCTAGCGTAGACCGCGAACCGCCCGATGATATCCTGATTACTGTCGTTGCTCTTGATAGTCCAGCTCTTGGTTCCGGGGAAGACGACCTCCGCGCCGGGGCCGTTGAGTTCGCGGTACAGACTGAGGTACAGAGCCAGCCATTGAGCGAGACAGTAGGCGTTGTTGTTTGGGACAAACCCGACCACGATGTCGGGGATCACGTCGCACCATTTCCAGGTCTTGGTGGCGGAGAGTTGCTGAAGGAGCTCGACTTGGGGGTAGTAGAAGAGCTTTGACTTGAAGGGCTCGGGGATGGGGGGGAGGGATTCGCTAAGAGGGAGTTTGTCGGCGAAGGGGAATTTATCGAGGAGGTGGACGCCGTAGGTCTAAGGTCGAGGTTAACGTCAGTGGGATACACCAGTTTGAGGTTGGATTGGAATGCCTACCTTGACGCCAGTCGGAAGCACCACAAAAGCCAGCTTGCCACTGAGGCTGTCCACCGCCGTGATCGCCCTCTTCAACAAGTCCACATTGATCTGGATCTCAGTCTCACTGTCGGCATTGTAGATATACGCAAAGAAATAGACGTGGCTGACGGTCTCAATCTGGGGAACCTGCTGCCGAATGCTCTCTTCCAAAGCCGCCTGGTCACCGGAAAGAAGATCCAATCCGGAGACAACATTCAGCTTCTTCGACGCCGGCCATCCAGACTCCTCAACAGGGAGAGGTCGATTCGTCAACGCGGTAACGCGATCAAAGGCGTCCGGGGTGGGATAGTCGCTCAGCAAAGCATTGACAGCGCCCCAGCCGGTGATGCCCGAGGCGCCAAAGACGAGTGCGTGGCCTCCCATGGTGACAAGGCTGGTCAAGATTAGAATGGAATTGGAGAATGAGGGGTAATTTGTGCTTTATCTGCAGGGGGTATGCAGCTGCATCTCCGCCTTCTATTTAGGTATTGTTTTTCCGCCGGTTGTGCATAGCCGGTGCCTCCACCAGCTGGAGGGGAGCCAATGCTAGAGCAGAACTCCGAGGAATGATTGTTGTTGATACGTAGCATCACTCGTCAAGTGTACCTCAATGGACGTACATTCATCCATAATTCTGAAGAGGCTTGTTCAATGAGGCGTTGGGTCAATCCGGCTTAGGGCTACGGGACAGAATATATAATGCCAGAGACTTTGAATGTAAGCCGCCTGCAAGGTAGCAGGATAGCCGTGCACTATACCATAGCCTTGCAACTATTTTCACATCAAATGATGCGAAGGGGCAGATCTCTTACCTGAAAGCTAGTTATTTGATGCAAAAGAGTCATTGTGCTGCAAGTTATCTAAAAATGGCTGGTGACCAGGTCCAGGTTCGAACGCAGGGCAAAAAGAACTATCACAAGACATTCTTCCCACTGTGCTATGGAAGCACATGCATAAAAAGTATTGGGTTTTAATAATATTATTAGACAATGTCCCTGGTTGACCAATTGAATACACCCTCGATGGATTGGGGGTTAGCCCACCATTTTGGACTTCACGATTCCTGTATTGCAAGGATCGGACTTCTAAACACACTATATCTTTACTACAGATAACTAAAGGTCGGGTTGGGTGGGTGCTTGGTTATGAAAATGAAGTCAAGTCCCCTCAGGTCCCAACGCCGCTGATCAGCAGCCGCAAATGCTTATACTCCTCTTTTTAGCTGAACTTTGGGAATACATTACATGGCTCCAGTGAGAATATCATCGGAGGAATGTGAAGTTTCCGCCATACACTCTGCATCAACCATTGCGATTCATGTTACGACCATTCGGCGGTGCTGGTGATGGGCTTGCAAGGTCGGGGGTTCGGGTTATGAGAGCGGTCGCTGTATGTGGCCTCGGGGAAGAGATTAGTGCCTGTTACGCATCAGACGGAGCACCTGCTTTTGCTGTTCGGACTCGGTAGATCCCTGTTAGGGTATGGGGTTGGGTTGACTGACAGAGACACCCTTTGTTCGCGAAGAATGTGATCCATTGTGTGTTTGCATGTGCAACCTTCTGAAATGGTAGCTATCACAGTCCATGCAGGACACGTCCCCGATGTCACATAGATATGGACACAAGGACCGGCGACTTACTGGCCCAGGCGCATACGGAACTTTTCCGACCAAGCCAGGCCAAGTCGGACCCCCAACCGGAACCCGACCCCAGACTCAACCTGACTTCGATAACTGAGTCTGGGGAAGCGGACCTTTCCCGACCCCAAGTTCCAACTGTCACCGTTGATCCGGGGTATCAGACCCTGTGTACGCTTTGCGGAGCAGAATCCGGGGCTGGGCGGGGACATTGGTATAAAGGGACTGTCGTCTCCGACAGAGAGTGGACTTCATCCAGCAGCTGCCAGTGCCAGATCTCCACACAAGACCATGGCTTCCACAGCACCCGTACCCAAAGCAACGCACGACGAGCCGAAGGCCGCTCTTGAAGCGCTGGAAGATATCTCCGACGCCGACCGGCTGCTCGCGCACTTCCCCATCCTGCAGGACAAGTCGGCCGAGGAACTGGAGAAGCTGAACAAGGCGGTCCTGCGCAAGCTGGACTGGTACTTCCTGCCCTGCGTGACGATGATGCTTCTGATGAGGTGAGATTCGATAACGGTCCATTGCGCGTGCATCCTAGTCTAAACTGCCGGTAGCTACCTCGACCGCATCAACGTCTCGAATGCCCGGCTCGCCGGCATGCAGGACGACCTCCACATGGACGACACGACCTGGTCCGCTGGTATCTCGCTCTTCTATGTCGGCTACATCATCTCGCAGGTCCCGGCCAATGTCTTCATCGCGAAGGGCAAGCCTAGCATCCTCATGCCCTCGATCATGCTCGCCTGGTCTGCCGTGACGATCTGCATGCCGGCGCTCACAACAGGCTGGGGGTTTTGTCTCTGTCGCTTCCTCGTTGGGTTCACGGAGGGCCCCTTCGTCCCTGCTGTCTCGCTGCTCACCTCGTCCTGGTACACGAAGCAGGAGTCCCCGCTGCGCATGGGCATCTGGCATGCGGGCAATATCATCTCGAACGTCTTCTCGGGTCTGCTTGCTGCTGCGATCCTGACGAATATGGATGGCATCGCGGACCTGCGTGCGTGGCAGTGGTTCATTCTCCTCGAGGGCATCGTCAGTGTGCTGGTTGCGCTGGTGGCGTATCGCTTCCTGCCGAATTTCCCGGATAATACCGGTCGCCGCTGGTTCTCTGAGGAGGAGACCGCCATGGCGCAGTACCGGCAGGTTGTGTCTGCTGGGGGTGTGCATGAGGGCGCGGAGGGGCAGGGCGATTACTGGGGCGGTGTTATACTGGCGGCCAAGGACCCGTTTACGTGGTTCTTTGCTGCCATTCACTTCTCGCTGATTATCGCGCAGTCGTTTAAGGATTTCTTTCCGTCGGTATGTTGTTTTTGAACTTTCATTTGATTTAGGGATATGCTGACAGATCAGATCGTCGAGACACTCGGCTTCAGCGAGGTCGTGACTTATCTCGTGCAGGCGCCGCCCTATGTGATTGCGTACTTTGTAACGCTGGCTATATCCTGGTCGTCCGGTAGATTCCTGGAGCACTGCTGGCACATCATTGTCCCGATTCTGGTGGCCTTGGGCGGTGCGGTTCTGATGATCTCGACTCTGAACGTGGGAGCCCGCTATTTCAGTCTGATCCTGCTGTGCACCGGTCCGTTCGTCGGTCTCAACGTGCGTTTCCACCTCCACCTCGATTACTTTTATTGAACGTGAACTAACCGAATAGATCCAAATCTCCTGGGAAACAACCGTCGTCCCCCGCCCGCGGACAAAACGAGCAGCCCTGATTGCTATAGCGAACTGCGTCTCTTCTGTGTCGCACTGGTTCACGCCATACTTCTTCCTCCGGTCGCAGGAACCGCGGTACGAGACTGGTGGGGGGATTATCATTGCTGGGTGTGGATTGACGGCCATCTTCTGCCTCCTGGCGAAATGGTGGTGCGTCAGGAAGAACAAGCAGCTCGATGAGGCGGAGGAAGCGAGTGGGGAGGTCACCGAGTGGAGGTATGCCACTTGAACGTGGAGGGACGTATATAGTGATAGACATGATGGCGATGATGGATAGATGGATGGATGAAATGACATCTACATGCTGGCCAGCCGCTGCTACTCAGGCAAGATGCCCGACGCACGAACGCCCGGCCACTTCCGTACAGTCGTGATCGAGCAAAGTGCCTGTATAAAAGCCCGATCCGGCTCAAGAGGCATCGACCAAGACGTATCCCCCAGCCCGTCACTAATGTGCGCATCCACCCCCTGGTCACTTTCGACAAAAGACACCAACGCCGGAGCAGGACACCCAGAAGCCTGCATCTCACTCCACACCTTCCGCAGCTGCGCCTTCATCGCTTCAACCACCATATCCGCCACCAGGTTCGACCGCATGTATCCCTCGCAGTGCTGCCACGATCGTAGAGCGTCGACTGCACGCATGCGGATGGCCCAGTCGGGGCAGTGGGTGGCGATGGTGAACAAGGGCGGGCAGACGCCAGTCTCGATCATCATCGGCGGCCGGTCCTGGAATCTGTCCATGACGGCCACAACCTCGGCGTAGAGATTCCTGTAGTCCACGCGCAGCCACACGGGCTCCAGGTTGATGCCCGTCATGAGACAGGACCGGATCGTGATGTCGAGCGCCCGATACGTCAGGCGCAACGTGTCGGCACCGCGCTGCGCTCTCGGCGTGAGACGGTCATACGCCGCTTGATGGAACGCGCGGAAGCGGGCGCCGAATTGGAAAAGGCACGAGAGGAACCGCTGCTGTTTCGCCTGCAGCTCGCCGTACCGTGCGACGAGCTCGTCCACGCGCTGGCTCCAGCATTCCTCGGGGAAGCGGATGCCGGCGTTGAACAGCGGCCAAAGCGCACGCTGGGCGTCGGCCACGGTGCCAAACTCAAACAGACACGCTTCGTACCGCTCGTCGTAGAGAATCTCATCGTCGAGATGCAGCGCCGGGTCCAGGACGCCGTGCTGCGAGGCCTGAGCCTCGAGGTGCAGAAACGCCTCGAGCAGGCCGTCCTCCACGGTCGCGTTTGTGCCCGGCGTGTGGCGCCGGATCTTCATCTCCTTGAGGATCGCCATCCCGCTCTGTAAATGCACGGTCGCGTTGTCGTAGTGCCCCAGCACCAGCTCCAGCATCACGAACAGCAGGCAGCAAACGAGCAGTACCTTGGGCAGCTGCGGGTCCTGCGAGATGTGGCGCTTGTTGAGCAGTGCGAACGAGCGCATGCACTGCTCCAGCGCAAACCGGTGCCAGTTGCTGTCCGTGTCGGACCCGGGCATGGGGATGCCGTATCGCTCGAGGTCCTGGTTTACGGCGCTGAGGGCGACGACGGCGTGGTAGACTGCCGGCTCGGTGCAGCACATCTGGAAGACGAGGCTCTGCCAGAGCGGGGAGTCGTAGAAGGATGTCAGGCTTGCGACGGTGCGGTGCAGGAAGAACGAGACGCAGCGCTTCTCGTCGGACGTCATCGCCCAGCAGAACTCCATTGATGGGGTTGTGGCGATGGAGTACCGGTCGCCTTTTTGGAACGGTAGCCGGGCAACTTCGTAGCCTTCGCATTCCCAGCCGTTGGAGGTGCAGTTGAGGCAGGCGATGGGGGTTTCGTCGCATTTCTTGTGGCGGAGACTGGGCGGCGGAGGAGTGAGCTGAGGCATCCGATCTGACAGATGGGATACTGTACGTACCGGCAGGTGCGGCATCCGGTGCGCGACCGGGTTACATATCTTCTGCGGCGCTTCTGCTGGTCGTCGTGCATGGCAAAGGCAGGTCCTTATGAGGCTGAGAGGCTGAGATGGGATGGAGGAGAGAAAGACAGAACGGTGGGAAGAGAGAAAGAGCACACGGTCAGGGGAGTTGGCCCCCAGGCTAAAGCAGCTGGCCAATCGGACCAATGGACACTGCTTGATGGACACAAGCTTCGCTGCAAAGGGAGATTAATTAATATAGCATTGATGGATCTCGTTCCGCCTACCTGTGGACATATGTCACATGAGCGTTTTAAACGCTCATGTGAGCATCACCCCTAAAACGTAAGCAAAAAAATGCCAAGCCTAATGAACGCGCGACCGACCTTAATTACGTAATCTTGTATGATTAATGTAATTTTACGAAGTACTTTTTTAATAATTTTATATTAATTAAAATATAAAAAATAAATAAAATATAAAGCACTTAGTAAGCAGTTAATAAGCAGTTATAATAATTATTTTAATATTTAATATTTTAAATTATTTTAAATTAATAAGTACTTGGCAAGCAGTTACTAAGCAGTTATAATAATTATTTTAATATTTAATATTTTTTAAAAATTTTTAAGTTAATAAGTACTTGGCAAGCAGTTAGCAAGTACTTGATTAAATTTTTTTATTTTTTAAAAATAATAAATAATATAATATTAATTATATATAAAATTATATATATTAAATTTAATATATATATTATATATGTAAATTAAATTAAAATATTTTTTTTTAAATATATATATTTATATACCTTAATACCTGTAATATATATATATATTATAACTTAAAATTTTTTTTATTAAACTAAGTAATAATAAAAATTTTTATTAAAATTCTTTTATTTAATATTTATTTAATATTTATTAATATATTTAAATTATTATTATTATAATTTAAAAATAACAAGCAGTTGACAAGCAGTATTTAATTTATTTAATTTATTTAATTTATTTAGTTTATTTAATTTATTTAATTTATTTAATTTATTTAATTTATTTAATTTATTTAATTTATAACTTTTTTAAGAGAAAATTTTAAAAAAAAATAACCTATTTAAATAATTTTAAATAATTAAATTAATAAATTTATTATATTTAACTACTTATTAGCTACTTATTAACTGCTTATGCACTGCTTACTAAGTACTTATTATTTTAATTACTAAAATTATTATAATTATTATTATAATAATTATTATTATTAACTGCTTGCTAACTGCTTGCCAAGCAGTTCTTATTTTAAATATTATTTAAATTATTTAATCTTAACTATTTAAATATTAAAATTATTAATATTATTATTAACTGCTTGCCAACTGCTTGCCAAGCAGTTTTTTAAATATTATTTATTTTTATTTAAATATTAAAATTTTTATTAATATTATTAACTGCTTGCCAACTGCTTGCCAAGCAGTTTTTTAAATATTATTTAAATTATTTAATCTTAATTATTTAAATATTTAATTAGTATTATTAACTGCTTGCCAACTGCTTGCCAAGCAGTTTTTAGTTTAAATATTATATACTATTTAGACTATTTAATTTTAATTTTTAAATATTTAATTAGTATTATTAAATATTTAATTAATATTATTAACTGCTTGCCAACTGCTTGCCAAGCAGTTTTTAGTTTAAATATTATTATTTAATTTTTAAATATTTAATTAATATTATTAACTGCTTGCCAACTGCTTGCCAAGCGCTTACTAACTGCTTACTAAGTATATATTATTATTTTTTTATAAAATAAATAAATAAAAATTATAATAAATTACTGTACTATATTGTAATATGTCAGATGCGCGGTAATTTATTTTTTGGGTGATATTACACGTGACTGCCAAGACTCAAAGATTACGTAACGAAGGCTCATGTGAGCGTTCGGAATAGCCCAGGTCACCTCAACCCTCCGCCTACAGCCTGCTGCCCGCCTCCCTTATCTCCCCCACCCACTTCAACAACGCATCCCTCTCCAACTCCCCCATCGCCGCACCCTCCAGCCCAACCTGCAACTCATAATCCTCCACCCCGGGCCTCGTCGCCAGCAGCCAGCAGACCCCCGCAAACTCATTCCCCGGAATCGCAAAGCTCTGCACTTCGCCGAGCGGCCCATAGTCCTGGAAGAAGTCCATCTTGTGTGTGTCCGAGTATGCGAGGCCACGGAAGGAGCACTGCACTGCGGAGCGGTCTTGTAGCGCGTTCAGTGTGCCTAGCATCCCGGCGACGTGGCTGGCGCTGTACTCGCGGAGTTTTGGGACGAGGGAGAGAAGGGTGTTGCAGATGCCTTGGAGGTCTTTGCTGCTGATGCCGAGATCTGGACTGGAGAGGATGTCGGCATTCGATGACAGATATTGGCCGTCGAGCTGGCACTCGACCGTGACGACTGCGTTGCCCATGTATGTCGCTGGCAGGCCTAGCTGCTGGCGGATGTTGTACGCCACGTCCAGCGTTGGTCCATACCAATCGCCCAACCCTGCTGCCTGTCGGGCGCGGTAGCAGCAGAGCCCGATCAACGCGCCGATGACCAGGCTTGAGGAGAAGCGCACGTCGCGCAGCTCGCTGGGCGCATGGTCCCGGATGATTGCCTCGCATGCGCTCTTGATCCGTCGGATTCGACCCGCGCTTATCCTGTATTTCCGGTTGAGAGTGACGTTTCGTGGATCCGTCATGTCGAGCGGCGCGATATTGAACGGTTTGGGTGTCCAGCGGAGTGCCTCGGGGGTGGACGAGGATGCCATGCGCAAGAGATGCTCCTGCATGCGCCTCTGCTCGGCCGCAGTCGTAGGTAGATCAGCAGGAGGTGTATCCGGGTTGCGGCAGAGCTGGGAGAGCGTGTTGCCCACGACCGAACCACCCATGCCGTCCAGTGCCATGTGGTGAGAGCGGCTGACAAGGTGCAGTGTATCGCCGACGATGTTAGCCTGCAGCCGGAGGACTGGGCAAGGCTGCGAGAAGTCGATGACCTCTTCACCGGGTACAAATTCCGCGTTCAGCTGTCCGTTGATAAGCAGCGGCGTGGATGCCGGGTGTTCCTTGACTTGTAGAAAGGGATCCCTATCGTTGTCAGCGCTGCGCAGCTCGTATGCATTGAGCTTTTCGTCGCGGTCGCCTGCTGGGGCTACATCTCCGCCGAGGAAAGGGAGATGCGTGACGAGCCTTGCTGCCGCTAGCTCGAGGCGACTCAATGCTGCGGCCTTGTCTCTTCCTCTCAGATCGAAGGTCGATACGCCGCTTAGATAGGAAGGGATGATGAGATGGTCCAGAGTCGTGAGGGCTTGGGGAGGGAACGAAGGCATTGTGGGCACAGGATCGCTAGGTAGGAGGATGTTAGCCATTATAGCAATCCTTATATTCCTCAAACCCACCCCTCCCGGAGCAAGTTCTTCCGCCCTAACCAACGCCACCTTGGGGAAGGTGCCCCCCTCGGGCGCCTTAGCAGCCTAATTAGCGCGTACGGAGTAGTGGCTTTATTATAACCTTAACCACGTAAGATAACTATAAGGTGCTAATTACCCTTTTTAGTAATAAGCTAATAACACGCCTAAAGGTATATACTATCCAGCAAGCCCTTATTAAATACATACTAAAATTAATTATAATTATAGCTATTTTTAAGATTAATACTACTTATATAAGCTAGGCTATTATTTTTTAATAATTTTTTATTAAGAATTTTTTAGTAATTAATAAAATAGTTAGTATAATTTATTATACCCTAGGTATTATTAATATATATATTTTTAAAAGTAGTATAACTACGCGGTGTAAGAAATACCTAGCATTATTTTAGTATATAATAATAATAAAATAAATATTATTAAGTTAATTTAAAATAAAGTTATAGCCTAAATTAAATTAAAATTAATAAAGCTTATTTTTTTAAAATATAAGCCTAATTTTAATACCAGGTGTATTACTTAGGTAGTATTTTTTCAAAGTAGCTTAAAATTTTTACCTTATTTAATTAAAGTAAGTGCTACTAGCTTATTAAAAAATACTAGCTAGTTTTTTAATATAACCCTAGTTATTAAAATTATTATTACCTAATATAATATAATTATATAATATATTATATATAATATAATATAATAGCTATAAATTACTTAGGTTTTATTAACTTAAATTATAAAATTTTTATATATTATATAAACTACCTAGGCCCCTAGTTAATAAAATATAATAATTATTTAATAGCCCCTAGGTATAAAAATAAAACCTTAATTTATTTATTTAAAAAAAACTTAATAATATATATTAATATAATACTTATTAATATTAAAATATACACGCCTAGGCTAATATTAATACCTAGCTTTAAGTTAAAACTAAATAATTTTTACCTTAAAAAAACCCTTAAAAATATATTATAAAAAACTTAAGGTAAATAAGCAGGGCTTTATAATAATTATTAATTATTATACCTTATAGTTTAATACTTTTACTAGTAATTAAAATTTTAAGTAACTTTTTATTAAATTAATTTAACTTATTTTAATTAATACAGGCATGTTTTTTTACCTTAAATAATAAAGGTTAATACTAAAACCCCCTTTAAGCTTTAATAATAAAGTATTAAAAAAATTATAGTAATTACTATTATAATAATACCTAATAATAATAAAATTTTATTATTTACTAAATAAATATAAGTAAATTTATATTTAATTATATTATAATTTCATAATTAACCTATAAGTAAGGCTATAATATTACCTATATTTAAAAGCCCTGGACTACTATAGGTATAAAAACTTAAAATTACCTAGTATATAAATATTACGCGCTAGTAAATGTCAGGGCCAATGTTTTTTTATTTAATGTTCCTAAAGCTAATCCATTATTTATCTAAAGTTAATATTTTAAGGTACCTAAACTTTAGCCTTAGGCTGCTAAGGCTTAATATATTTTATTATTATATTAAGTTATATAACTTAACTAGGTTATTATTAATTAAAATTTTAGTTATTAATTAGGCAAGGCTAGGGTAAACCTTAAGTATAAGTTAAAATAAAAATTTATATATAAAGTATTTAAATTTATATTTACTTTTTAATTAAAAATAACTTAAGTATAGCTTAAAGGTTTATAAAAATAGCCTTAAGGCTAGCCTTTTTTGTAAATTTTTAAGTAACTTTTTTAATATTATTTAATAAGGTTTAAAATACTTTATTTTTATTAATTAAAATTTTTTATTAATATTTTTATTATTAGTAAAAATTTTTAAAACTTATTAATTTTATAGTTAAAGTTATTTATACCTACTACTTTTTAAAGTTTTTTAATAATAGTATTTTAAACTAAATTTTTTAAAAAATAAATAAAAGTAGTTTGCAGGTATTTTAGTTAAAGTTTTTAAAACCTAAACTTAAATAATTAAAAAAGTATTTTTTTACCCATGCTTAAAAATCCTATTACTATTAAAAATAATTAAATAAAAAAACCTAACTTAAATAATTTAAATTACTTATTTAATAAGGTGTAGGGTAAGATGCACCCTTTATTTTATTTTTTATATTATTATTATAACTTATTAAATTAAAATTTATTATAACTAAAGCTAATTTAAAAAAGGAATAATTTAAGATTATTATATTTAAGCTATTTATTTTTTAATTATACTATAATTAATACCACGTGTTAAAGCTAAAATACTTTAAAAAAAATAAAAAAAAGTTACTTTTATAACTTAAAGGTAAAGAAATATTAATTTATTAATTTTTATATTAATTTTTTTATGAATTTTTATATTAACTATCTTATTAACCTTTATATTAAGCTTTAATAATATTTAACTTTAGTAATTTTTTTAGCTTTAATTTAAAGTTGTAAGGGCGCCCTAGCACCCAAATGTTCTTTACTAATAATAATAAAGCTTGGCAAAGTATCTTTAACCAATAAGAATAAAGTATTCAGAATCTTAATAAATTTAACTAAAAGCATTACTTAAAAAACTAAATATACTATAGCCTTTAGCCCCTTTATATAGGCCTTGCCCGGAGGCCTAAGGCCTTTAAGTAATTTTTTAAGTTATTTTTATTTAAAAAGTAGGTAATATTTAAATATTTTTGCATCCGCGCCCCCTATAGCCACTTTTTAATTATTAAAATAATTTAATATAAGGCACGCCTTTAATTTACTACTTAAATAATACTTAAAACCCAAGGTCCCTAAGCTAAGGTCCCTGGTTAAAGCTAATATTATATTAAGTTTTATATAGTAATTTATAATAATAAGGTTTATTAAGCTAAATAAATACTTAAGACATCCTATATAAGTAATATTAATACTTTACGGTGGCATAACCTAGGTGCCTTAGGTATTACTTAATAATATAACCTAGATTAATATTAGCCCTAATAATTTTTTTTTTTTATAAAAATAAATTATTTATAATCCAGCGCTAGCTATTTTAAAAAAATAATAAATAAGTAATTTATAATATTAACTTATTATTATATTATAATATAATAGTGTTTTTTATTATTATTATTTTTATTATTTATTATTCTTGGTTCAAAATATTAAATAATATTTAATACTTTATTTAAAATACCTTATTACTTATTTACTTTTAAAAAGGCGCCTAACTATAAGATGGCTTTTTTATTAATTTAATTTAAGTTTAGTTTTTTTAAAATTTTAAACCTTAAATTACTTTTATATAGCTAGATTATATAACTTTATTTTAGCTTTTATTTACTTTTTTACCTTGTCTCTTATTTTAATTATGCCTAAATAAAATTATCCTTTTTTTAATATAATACTATATTTTATTAATATTAAAAAAGCATAGCTAGCAGCTTTTCTTACTAAAAACTAAAAAAATAAGATTTAAATAAAACTTTAAAAGGCCTTTATTTTTAAAAATTACCTTTTTTTAACTACTTGCCCAGTTACTTCCCCGCTGGTAATGTGGAGGGGCAGTACTAGAGCATAGGAGCTATAGGAGCCAAACAGTGGCGGTATCCTAGGACTAAATAGTACGTAGTATAAGTAGGAATAATAATAAAAAAAAATATATATATTAAGGTAAATAATAAACTAGGTATAAAAGGTAGGTAGTAAAGCTATAAGTACTATAAAAATTAATATTAAGGTGTAACCTTACTATATTTTTTTAGGGGGGGGCTAAAACTTACTAGTAAATAAGACTTTTTTTTACTTATGCCTTTTATTTTTTTTAAAATAATATTTTAAAGTATAATAACTAGCTATGCTTTGCTAGGCTAGCTTTTACTAAATTTTTTTTTTATTTTTCCCTTTTTTTTAATATTATACACGGTAATAATTAGGTAGTTTAGTAAATATATTTTAAAGCTTGTTAATTTTATTAAGGTAAAAAATATTAATAGTAGTTAATAGGTAGCTTAGCTTTATTTAATACTTTTTTAATAACCATGGTTATATAAGTAAGAATAAGGGCAGGAGGTAGTATTATTTTATAATAATTATAGCTAAAGTTACTAAAATACTTTTATTTTAGCTTTTAAAACCATATATATATATTTATAATAATAAAAATAGCCTTTTTTTTAAAACTTAAAAAAGTTATGCCTAATAAATATATTTAGGCTAAATACTAGCTTTATTTTATTAACCACCTTAACTAAATTTTATTTATAATATTTTATTAAAATATTACTAATAGCTCCTAGCCGCTGGAGTTAAATAATTAGGGTAAATAATTATAAAATTTTTAAGTAATAATTTAAAAAACTAAATAAAAAGGTAGGGCTAGGTATAAGATTATAATATATAATAGCTAGTTTTTTTTAGGTGCTTTTTTTTATTATTTTAAGTATTTAATAATTAATTAATATAATAATATACTAGGGTAGTATTATACACCTTATTTTTATAACTAGTTTAGTAAATTTATGTAGTATTAATAAATATATAATTTAAATAATAAGTTATAAGCAAGGGTTTTTTTTTTAGTTTATATAAAAGTATTTAGTATTATTTTTAGTTTACTTTTTATTTTTTACATAGTTAATTAAATTAAAAAGGTTATTAATATTATTTCGTGCCTTTACTTATACTAGCTATTTTTTTACCTTATTTTTTTAATATATACCTGGCAAGACCTTGGTATAATTATTATTATTTTTTATATTTAGTAATAATAATTTTTAAATAATATTTACTTTTTATTTATTTTAAAGCACCTAGTTAATATTAATATTTATATATTAAAAGTAGGTGTGGTTTTTTTTTAAGCATACTTTATATAATATAAATATAAGATTAATTAGTACTTATAATTAAGTTTTAATATAATATACCAGGCTTAATA